AGGGCGTAAAGATTTTATGCGAAATTAGATTTTGTTAAACAAAGATTTTAAATAAAAAATTAAGAACGTAAGAAATAATTGAAAGCATGTTTGTAGTATAATAGCTAGAATGATGGAGTCGGAAATTCTTGAAAGTTCTAGTGTAATTAAAAAATAATATGAATTTTCTCGAGCACACACGGTTGAAATAGAATTTATCAGAAATAAATGTCTAACGATTGATTTATAAATCACTTTAAGCGACGTGTCTACAATGAAATTTTAAGGTGTAAAACTTAAGTTTTAAGTCTTAAATTGTAAGGAACTGACTAATCACAGTCTAATGCGTGGAAAACAATTAATTATGAATGTTATGATTGGTCAATTTTGTACGGCTTGCTTAAATTTTACGCCTTTAAAATCTCATTGTAAACTCTGCTTTAAGATTCTAATGAATATAAATTCAAATAATAAATACGCAAGAGTTATTTGAGCTGAAGGGAGTATTTTTGCTAATAAACATATCAATGTTAAACATTCGAAAACAAAATAATCGAATATGTGTAATATGAGCTGAACATGATACATACACTCAACATTTATATCAAACACTATATATTTATCAAAACTCTTTTGCAAAATTTCATTATTATTTTCATTTTATAATCTATACTTTAACACTAAGAATGACTATATTAAAAGTTAAAACATCTGTTTTATTATTCTTGTCTTTCATTGTTTAATACTGATGTATGCATTAGTAGAAACACTTAGCTCAGGTCAAATAGCCCTTGTTTATTTATTAGTTGAATAATGTCTATTTGAGTTTGAAACAATGAGACGGAGGATTATACGCAAGAGACAACGAAGAGCGCATGGAAGCTATAAAATTTAGTTCTCTGCGATATATGTATGTATTAATGACATTAATGTAGATACAACATAATCGTAAAAAAATATAAGTTGTTTTGTTACATAAAAGTGAAAATCCACAATCGTAATTCTGGATTTGATCAGTCCTAATTTTTCCCATTTACTTCAGAATTTGGAAGGAAAGACTAAAAAAAATGCTTTAATAATTTAATTGTTTTGTTAGATATATATTAATACAAACAAAATGTACACTGCATCAGTATAAATTTTGTTGATATTAATATATATCTAACATAATTGATGCTGTCATAGCAAATTAACTATTGCTAATTGTTACACAAACAGATTTGTTAAAAATATTTGTTAAGAATATTAATTTTGTTTGCTAAAAATAATGTTGCAAGATTCTCTCTATTTTATTTCAAATTATCGAATTTCTATGAATAATTCACCTAATTTAGTTAACAAAATTTCTTAATAAAGAGTGATTATAATAATGAAGTTTGATTATTTTTAAATTAAATATTTCATGGAACATTAAAATAGTTTTGCTGTTACAGTTAAATCCTTTCTTTCTACGTATGTTTCTTTCCAAAGAGAGGAACACTTTCAAATTATAATACTTATGTGTTAATGCAGTTCACTATTTTTTTCTCACTAAAATTTTTGTTTTTAGCTTTCAGCTTTTTAGTCGCCCGAGTCAGTCGTACGTCTGTAGAGACTTAAGAAACGTCGTATTGCAACAGAAGTGCAACAGTCAATTGCAACCGAGTAATCATATCACGCTGAAAAAAGTTCAAGTTCCTCTTGATTTTTTAAGCCGTTATGCTAAAATAGATAATAACTACTATCAGCGAGTTTTGACAAAGAATGAATTACTATAGATATTATTAAGTTCTGAGTATTACGAAAAATTTTATCGCATATAAGTATGCAAAATATAAATCAAATATTATCTTAAGTAAAGAGAATAAATTTTTATGTGTATCTTATAATACACATATATACACACACATTACACACACAATATATTCTATTCCTACCATATTATTCTTTAAGGAATTTAAATTAATTTAAGAATAGCTGTATGTTATTAAAATATAACGTATTCGTAATATATAAATAAAATTATTTTAATAAAATTAAAGAAATGACAAAGATGATTAGCCAACGTCAGTACTCCATTTATATAACGCTTCTCAATTTTTATTTTTAATAAAATTAAACTCACTTTAATAAGTAAATAGCAAATGGAATAAAGACATTAAGATTTGGACTCTAAAGTTGTTGGATAAATGGAGCATATTAATTTTTTATAATAAAGCAGAATTGGATAAAAGACATATATAAATTTACTTTCTTTAGAACTCTAAAATAATCTTTTTAAGAAAATAGTCTTCAAAAAAGTAGCCGTCATTATTATTAACTAAAAAACATAAAAAATTATCGACTTTATTATCTAGCATGTAAAAGAGATAACAATATTATTTTACAGTTTCCATCACTACAATTATTATTACTCTTTACATTTAAGAAAGTCCCATTGTAGATACGTGTTCATCCATTTATTCGATATTCATATCTTTATTCGGGTATTCGCGTAGTTCATCAGTATTAAACTTAAAAAGAAAGTTAGCCACGGTTCGGTCCGAAACTACTTTATACTTTTCCTCATTCGCTTTTAAACTCCTAGCACGGTAAGTTCTTCTAATGAGAGGTGATATATTTTAAATTCATTGAATTTAAGTTCGATTCTTTTTATTCTTTCGAACATTATACGCTTAAAAAGTTGTCCAAGGGACTATTACGTTGTCGCTGCCAGTAGTGTGACCTCAATTGTAAATTAAGTGTCGCTAGTAAGTTGTCGCTACTAATAATGTGGATCTCATTTTCTTGTAACAATTCATATAGTTATACAAAATCCAAATATTTCTATAAAGAATCTTTAAGAAATTACAATTTAAACGTTCTTTTCTTTCTCTCCAATTACCGAAAGCATTATGAAGATTAACCAAGACGCAAGTAACAAACAAAAGTCTTATTTAACATAGAGAAACCATTAAGATTTGCAAATAATTATACGTTCTGTTTTTACTGAATAAATTTAATCCGCGAATAACTTTTCTCAAAATGAATTGCTCGAGTACTCACAATCAGTCTCAAAATCAAGGAAAATTTCTCTCTTTCGTGGAATCATAATCCGTGGCAATAACAATTTTATCATAAATGACACTATTCTGAGATACTGTAAATGTCTCAATAAAAAGCATCATGATTATGTAGTTAAATTAGTTTGCTATCACGAACAAACCTATTTATATAACTTTATGTCCTTCTAATTAATAGATACAATATATAAAATCTGTTTGCATCGCTTGCACCTTTTGAACTCAAAATCTTCTTTTTACGTCTCTTTAACACCTAAATTTATATTTGCCTCGTTTTAAATGTAAAAATTTTGGGACTTTCAGGTAACGCAAACATAATATATATTTATAGAAACCTAAATAATAAACTAACCTAATAAACGAAGCACGTTCTTAATACTGAAGATATTTGTAATCTCTCACAACACCATACGATTAGAACCCATTGTCTCAATAATACTCTGTCCTACATTTTTTAATGCTGAATAGACGTACAGGATGATTTAATAAATGCATGCCAATATTTTGGAAGTTAAATTTACACATTTAGCAAGAATTTCGAACATTTTCTTTAATCTATTAACGCGCAAAAGGACAATATTTTTTGCTTGATTTCAAGATAATTTTTAACACACTAAAGCCCGATTGCACCAACGTCTCTCGATAAATTCCGCTCAAAATTTGACAGTAATCAATGAAAGATACTACTTGTCAAGTGGCATAACACTGCGAGTGCCCTCTGACAGAATTTCTAAGAACTTATTAACTTATCCTCGTAATAATATAATTCCAAAAATCCAAAAAATAATTTTTTGCATTATCAAATTCCATCTGAAGAATAATAAAGAAAATTTACATTTATGCTTTTTCCAATCCACTATTGTGGTTATTCCAAACGGCATTTATCGAGAGACGCCCTGTATATCTTCATAGATATCATGTATAATATAAAGACTATTTCGTTGCAAATTCAAATGAAGATAATTATAGATTTTACGCACTGAATGAACAGATTATATATAATATATAAAGCAAAACAATGATTCTACATAAAAAACGCCATTAAAGATGTCATGTTAAAAAAGCATATACGTACTGCTTATAAAAATTAATATATAAATTACACACTATAATTTTAATTAAATTTCGCTCGCGTTTTGCAATGCAAAGTATAAAGAAAAACGGTCTAAATCGAGCGGTAATAAGATTTTTTAATTAATAGTTCACAATATTACTAAGAAACATAAAATAAAAATATAAAAAAATATATATAAAAATATAAAAATATCGAACGTTTCGGAACTCACAGGCCCTTCTTCAGCGATTCATAAAGATGTTTCGATGTCAACGAGATTATAATTTTAATTAAAAATTTTGTTATTACAGTAGAGAATAAATCTCTGACGTTATATTGTAGAAATGTTGAGACAAAGAAAAAGACTTTGATTCATTGGCAACTCGTATATAGTTTTAGAAAATTTATACATATATATCGTTTTAAAATATTTATACAAATCTAAAAATATTATTTTCTCTGCAATAAAAAATAAAATATATACATTTTATATAATTGTGTTAAGTATTTGTTTTAAATTCGTGATTTATCTCCTAATCATTATATTATAGATATGAATATTAGTTTATAACGACTATACTCGTATCCTTACTAAGAAGAACTTTTCCGTTTGCAAATAGAAATTTAATTGTTTATAAACAGATGCCTAGAAAAACGTTGAGAACATAAAGTTTAAATATATTAACAGTAAACATTCATGCAAAAAGTGTAGGTGAAAAGAAAGTATATTATTTGCTACATAACGTTTATACTTTCAAAATCCACATCGTCAGTTTGAATAACATCATCATTCAGTGATGTTCTCATTTTTACATTAAGATTATCGAAAGTATAACATAAGTGTGAAGAATTATTTTTATTATAGATATATTTCATCACAAATATATCTCTGGGATTGATTTACACCGCGCAATTCGGTTTAGAAGATGGCAAAATTTTATCTCCTAAGCATCGCATTAATATTTCATTCCTGCTTATTTGCAGCATCAAGGACATTATCCGACATTAGAAAGCGGAATAGTGATGTAGCGGATGATTATTTGACATTACGATTAGTCAGCACGGTATAGTGATATAAAAAATCAGATTTCACAAATATATATGGTATTTTCTTCAATGTACGTAAAACTAAATATGATTAAAATGTGAAATTTTTCAGGTGTTCAGACACGGCGATCGTACAATGGACAGGAAGAATCGCGAATATTATCCAAATGATCCATATAACTTTCGTAATTTCTATCCAGTTGGCGACGGAGAGTTAACTAATGTAAGATCTAATTTACATATTCAACATAGACATATTACGTCGTTTTGTGAATTCTTTTGTTATTAAAATAACTTTATGACGTGACGCATCATGTATCCAGTAAACATTTTATAATATACTAACAGCGTAATTACATTAATATTACACTTTCCTATTCGACAATGTAAATATAATATAATACACATTGTGCGTAATAGTTACATTGTTGAATAGAAAATTATAATATTGACGTTACGCGCGTTACTGTTGGTTAATATTTCTTGAAATATTTGATAAAGTAATTTCAAAAATTATATTCATATATTTAAATTATCTTACTTGCTATGCATTTTTTAAAATTACGACAGATTCTCTATCAATTTGTAGTTAACTTTTTCATAGCGAAGGTGAAAATTACAATTTCATACAACTTTACATTTTTTTTTAATCATATGCTTTTCAATTGAATCTCAAATTAGAATTCCATTTGAAACTCGCGGTCCAATAAAATTTGAAACTGTTTTAGAAACGTTTTGTTATTTATTTGAGTTTAGTTTTGCAAAAATTCATCCTTTTTTAATTACATTTAATTCGAAAATCATAAAAATGTCTTGATAGTAACGCTAAGAAAAAAATGTACTTAAAAAAATCTCTTGTTGAAATATGCGCGAAAAGTGAGACATTTTGTGTACATAAATTAGTATTAATGCATGCATTGCATCTTCTGCTTTTCGTAAAGCTTTTCGTAGTGTAGCAGCGAATATACTGCCGCACAAGTAAGTACGTCTACGGCATAGCGAAAAGATCGACATTTTTCTCATTTCTTCGTTTTTACGAAAGAAAACATTGCTCCTTATTTTTAAGTTTGCGCCACTTTCTTGCAAGAAATATTAATAGCATGGTCGCAGTTTCTTCTTCTTCTTTATCTTTATTAACAACATTTAAGGCTGGCAAGAAAAGAGCGTACGAGTTAGGGCTGTTGTTAAGAGATAAATACGAAAATTTCATCGGGAATTTGTATTATCCACCGAATGTCTACGCACGTAGCACATGGATAAGTAGAACCAAAATGACCCTACAATTAGTCCTTGCGGGGCTTTTTCCGCCTGAAGATATTCAAAAGTGGAACTCGGAGCTTTCTTGGCAACCAGTAGATATGATATACTTTCCAATGAATGAAGATGATTTGCTGTTTTCAATGAAATGTTCTGAGTAAGCAAATCTCTTTTTTTTTTTTTCAATCGATATTAATAATAATACTTATACGTCGTATGATCAATAATAATGTTCGATTATGCTTGCATTCACGAGAATATTTTGGACGAGTCGATTATTTTTGTTCTTTACAAACATACAGCAATTAAATAATTAATACTTGTTTTAAATAATTATAATAATACAATTAATATATTGTATAAAAATATCTTTCTGATGCGTATACTTAAAGTCAATCTTAACGATACTTAAAATTTGATAAAAGATACACTATATTTTGAAAGAAATATGTATTTAATGTAAGTAATAATATAACTTTCGATAAATAAACTATAAATAAATCTCAAATTATTCTAATTATTATGTACCAAAACAAATTACGATAATGTCAAAATGACATTAAAATGAATCGTGACTCTAATCGAAAAATAACTTTACAGTTGAACCATCGTAAAGTTAACCTCTGTTTTTATTTTAACCTCCATAAAAGTCGCATTTTACTCCTTTATTTTAACCTCCTATATACTAATCAAGCACATATGCTAGCGCATTTATTTACTTTTATGGAGATTGGTTGGTCCTGACGAGTTACTTTTATGGAGGTTCGACTGTAATAATAATTTCAAAGCCATTTTGATATCATTTTAATAATTTTTTGTCTGTTTAAATAAATTGTATATATATAATATATATTTCTATTTAAATTATTACTCGATAATAATATTAAAAACTTCTTCTTATGTGTCTGTCTTTAATAGGTACAATAAAGCTTACAAAAATGTACTACAAAATGCAGAAGTGAAAAAGAAAATAAAACAATTTGAAGATTTGATGAAGATAACGTCACAGTATACAGGAAATAATATTACAAGTCTTGTAGACCTTGTTAGTTTGTATAATATTTTATATGCAGAATCATCTATGGGATTAACTTTACCTAAATGGACGCAAGACATATTTCCTAACGGCAAACTTTTAGATGCGGCTCTCTTATTCTTTGAACTACTTAGTTACGATCAATTAAATAATCTCAATGGAGGCATGTTTAAATAAAAAAATATATATGTGATATTATTTATAAGTTATATATTTATTAAGAAATAATCTTAGATTGTTGAAAAGTCTAAAGAAGGAGCTTAATCAGGAAACTAAGACTTCAATTAATTGTAGTATTATACATATATAATATATTAATTAATTTTTTATATATTTCCATACAACATTCATACAATCTTTTGCAGGTGTGTTATTGAATAGATTAATTAATGACATGGACAAAGTGATCAACGGAACTCTAAATCGCAGAATTAATCTCTTCTCCGGACATGACATAAATGTATCTGCATTGCTACTTGCTCTAAATATTTCCAAGCATCATTTTCCACAATATACGAGCTGCGTTATTATAGAATTACACGAAAAAAATAAAAAGTATTTTGTCAAAGTAAGTGTCATTTCTATCTGGTAGTGACAATGGAAGTATTTGTCACTTGACTAACAAATAACCAATGGCTTATGCTTACTTTTCTTACAGGTATTATATTACCTCGGTATTCCACCGAAAATAATAGAAGTTAACATTTCTGGTTGTGAAGTATTTTGTCCATACGACAAATTTATCGAATTAACTAAGAGTACAACTAAGGCATTTGAACAACCGTGTCATCTAGGGAATTTCACTTCAAGTGACGATATGTTTAAAAGTTGACAGTACACGCCTTCGAACAAATCAAAGTTTTTATAAAAGTTACAAAATTAAATAAACCACGCAGTAATCTCTTTTTTTTTTTACGAAATATATATTATTCTCTCAGAAATAGAATTAAAATCAATCGCAGTATCATATTAAATGAAAGATGAGAGACTTCTACTTTCATCAGCTTGACAGCTCAATTTTATTTAAATGAACATAACGAAATAGTGTTAATCAGGAAGGAAATTTTATAATCTCATTTTACAATGTCTTCAAATTTATGGTACATGCAATAGCGTCTTTAACGTAATATAATAAAATCCGGTACACTAGCTGGTTTTATTACATTTCCCTTATTATATCCAGTACCGCCGAAAACTAGATGCCCATACGATCGTAGAAAGTTAAGTTCGTTAAGTATGCTCAGAGCCGTGTCTTATCGAAGACACGGAGCTCAGATCCTCCGCCTACCGTGCCGTAGCATAACAATTACCCTATTATTTCGCACACACCACCGCGGCGATTCGTTGGGCCTATATACCGCACATTTCCGTTCCACGATATACTCTCAACTTCCATTAAGGCTAAATCTTTTCGTCCCGTAAGCAGATATCAACGCTGAAGTTTAATTTGCCCTTCTACGTTATTACCATTTGTGTCAGGCGTCGATGAACTTTATTTTGATTTGATATTTTTAGAAGAGAGACGACGATCTTTTATGAAAAGGACGAAAATTGTTATTAGAATAGGTATATTACTTTTATAATATTTTATAAAAGTATTACTACACAATATGTTATGTGCTTATTAATACAGTTTTATTATATTACCTGTTGTATACAACATAATTATTGTAAATCGAATCTCATAAATAAAAAACACATTGACCTATCTTTTCTTACATTTACAAGTTAAGAAAACTGCTTCGACGAAGAAAAATCGTACCGAGAGTTTAGAAAATTTTTGTAAGAGATATATAGAAACAATGCCAAACAAGAGTTTATCGTATACTGAATTAGTCGCTGTGTTCTTTCAATTTTAAAAATCATTGCCGAAACTTGTCGCTGGAAAAGAATAGGAGGTTTCAGCTATTCTAAAGACAAAGTTCATCCTTCTTTTTCCCTTTTCTTTCGTGCCGGGCCATCCTTTTCTGTTACCCCTTTTTCTCCTGTAATCCCACTCTCGCTCCGTCGGGATAAACTCTTGAAATTTCCGAGAGTTGCCCGGATGAGAAGAACCAGTTCCGCACTCCTAATTCTGCGGAATTAAACTCGCGAAATCGTTCTAATTGCGGATACAGAGCATCGGGGCACTTGCATCGAATGAGTTGCATTGTACTTTTAACGACGTAATACTATGATTGAATTAATCACTGTCCAATTTCCCCAATACAGCAGTTAAATTATTTTTATGCTAAATGTCGCGAATATGATAACCTTAATTTACAACTGATGGAAAATATATTATTTTATCGAATACATTCTGCATAGTACACCAGGATGAAGTACAAATCTTCCTCAATAAATTCTACTTAATTGTGTGTCGAATTCCAGTGAACTTTTCAATTCTTTATAATTAAAATCTTGAATTCAAAACTGTTTCAAGTATGAAATTATTAGCCAGTTTATAAAAAATTAATCTTTCTTAATTACGGTATTATATGAGTTTGCGTTTCTGGATACAGGAAATGTAAGAAATGGTGTTAAATAGAGCGTTCCTTAACAAGTTCCTAGACGAACGCGTGACGTGACACAACGGCCGAGAAAATGGAAAATTTGCCGAAAAGACTGCCGTACGGAAGTTAGTTTGAAAACGCACAATTTAATTGAACATTCGTAATAATTTGTCTGCACTAGAGGGTGCTAACTGAAACTCCGCGGTTTGCGTTCGCGTGCGATTCGTCGGCAGCAAGGAATTAGCACGAGCTGTCGAGTAGACAATACGGAATTAATTATAATTAACTGCCATTCACAAAAGTTTCCACGAACAATTTTGTGGTCGCACCATGCCGGTTATAATGAACTCTCTCCTGGCAGCTCCTATCATTTACATACTCTTACATTCAAACTGGGTTTTCGTTTGGCTGCTGCGCTGGTTCGCGACAACCCCAAGAGAAACTTCTTTAAATTATGCCCTTTGGAATATACCTTCGGCATGACGTAGAATATAACGTCCGTTGAAAACTTTCCACCGGTACGAAGAAATATCTTTACAATGTCTAAAAGTGCATATGACTGATTCTTACCGTCAAGCAGAGATTACACATTTCGAGAGGAAAGCCTAGCTCTCTTTATAAAGGAAAATTATATAAAATATAATTAAAAAGATTTTCATTTATGTTTGCTTTCTTTTCTTCTTGAGAAAAGATAGCAAACGTGAATCAAAATTTTTGTAATTATGTTTTATATAATTTATGTTATATATAATAAAAATTATAATTGTGTGAATTTTATTATTTTTATTAAAGTTATATTTATTATATTTCCTGTCATATCAAGTAATTTATGTACGTTCGTACATATACAACATTTTTAAATAAATAGATTAATCTTTAACTCAATTTTTTAAATAATTATATAATAAAAAATTTATATATAAATCTTTTTATTAATTGTTTTATATATTATTTATATAAGTATGTTACCATCTACGTGTAATAACAATAAACGACGATTCGGAATAGCTTAGAATTAGCTTAATAATGAAAAATAGCTCTATTAAAATTGTTTAAGTTTTTTTTTACATCAATTTACACGTAACTAAAACTTTTTACAACTCGATATCCTCGCATGCGTATCGTCGTTCTCGCGTTCCAGGTTTTCTTCATTTCAAGGAGTAGCACTGGCCATATGGCCCTCGTATTTATAACTTTATCCTACATGTAATAATCGTTTCTGTATCGCTCTACCGTTTAATCAATTTCGCGCAGAAAGTCGTAAGATCATGACGATGATGTATCAGTTGTCATTAAAAGAACAAGAAACATTATATTCTAAAATAAAAATTACAAAACACGTGAAGAATATCAGAAAAATATGATTCTTTTTACTCTTACTGAAACATCGGTTTTAATTAAAAAATTAGAAGAACCCAACACACACCTCGAAGAAGCGTCCCTAGATCCTAAAGGATGTTCCCAGGACGTCCCTCGGATAAAATGTACTATGTGGAAACAGTATGCAGTTAAATTAAATTAAATTAGTTAATATCTTAGTTTGTAAATCTAAATAATGATGATTCGCAAACTACAGTATGAGCTTGAAGGTACATCGAAAGAAGGAGATACTTAGTCTTTCTCGCTATTGCGACGTAATCCGGATTTTGCCGACCAAATTGTGGAGGAAAAAAAGCCAGCGATTATCTCGCTCGTATAGACGTGTATGTGCACGTGCATAATATTAGAGAATGTAAGTGTGGCACCAAGCTGACGTTCGGTAGTGCATTATCAGTTCGCCTCGCGCTCATAGGAAACCGCAATTTCCACAAATTACACGGATGAAAACTGACTCTTGCGACTGTACACCATCGGCTACAGCGCGGTGGAATTCATGGGTCGCGGGTTATGCCGCATTCGGTGGTATGTAGTAATTAGCAACATTGCTCCCAGATCTCCCGTGGATGGGGAGGATCGAGCTGAGGGCCGAGCGAGGGGCTGGACGAACGGGGGGGCCGGCAGATTCGCCGGCACAGATTTCATTTCGAAGGAATAGAACGCAGTGGCGGCGATATTATCTTGCTCCTGTGACGTTTAACAATCGGTCATACCGCGGTTCTCACAGTACCGCCGGAAATCGAAACAAAAACACAACGCCGTCACATTCTTAGTCTAGTGGCATCTTCGCGTATGATGTCACGAATTTTTGATAAAACTCGCGTAAAAATTGTCGCAATCTTAACTTTTCGATTCGAAGAAGTGTGCAATCGCAATTGTAAGATTTCATTCGCGTTCTTTAAAATTGCCAAAAATTTTCGCTCTTAAAACGAGATAAATATATAATTGGATATTAAAAAGAGAGAGAGAGAGAGAGAGAGCGAAAATACTGAATGCAAAAAGTGCAAGTAACACGACAAAAAAGTTTCGTAGAGCGCTATGAACCTCAGAATTTAAACAGCTATAACTTTATTAAAAATAAACAAAATTTAAATTTATAAAAGGTTTTTGAAACTTGAAATCTCGATTTTCGAAAGATTATTATGTCTTTTAAATTTCTGTGAGTTTGATAATTTTTACATAATAGGAAACTACAAGTTGGAAATGGAAAAATTTTCAACTTCCTAATGTCAAAGTTTAAAGTTTTCCTACAAAATCGTTTTTTTTTAAATGTTCCTAAAATTTTTTAATGAATTGCGTAAATTAAGTGAAAGGAGCATTTTTATTATTTATTTATAGCGCCATTAAAAATCATCGTGCCGTATAATTCAAAGAACAAATCTTTAAAGCTGACACTTTGCTATATTAAATGATATCATTGCTAAATTTAAATATAGACACGGCACGAAAAAATAGCGCTATGAATTTTTGTTCCGACTGAATATTATAGCGTAAAATGCGAACAAAAAAACTTATTCGGATCTGATAGGATAGAACGGTCGAAAGAGGATTCATTTTTTTATCTCGTAACTCTTTCTCTGACACATCGCATAAGATGCTTAAATGAATATCCTCGAAAAGCTTTTTTCTGTATATTTTTTCCATTTTTGAGATATTGATTTTTAAATCAAACATATCATTCATATGACATAATTTTTTATCAGCTCAAAATTTCATCAGCTCAATAACATCAAATTTTCATAACTCTTGTAATCTTCTCTCGCACAAAAAAAGAAGTAAAATATGAACTTTTAAAGCCCTAGTATAATAGTTTTTGGGAAGTAAATTATATTTGCCTCTTTAAGAATTTTTCATAAATCAGATATCATTAAAACGTATAATAATTTTTAAATAACAAAAACTCCTGTACAATTCAAATATAAACTTGGAAAGGAAAGGGCACTAGGAGTTAAGCGCAGATAAC